AGCTCAGAGAGGCTCTATGTTGTGGTCTGATATAGCTATATGGGAATGGAGATTTGGAGGTGTTAGTTTAAGACTGCTTTCATATTGTGTCTACCCGTGTTTGCTAGGAGGGACACAGAGTGTGTAGTTGTGTGCTCATGAATGTGTTTTCTATATTGGCATATCTGCTGGGTACCCGATACGTGTATCTACTACGTCTGTTTTGTGAGATGATGACATGTAATATTACATCGGATGCTGAGTATGAGTTATATGGTTTGAAATGAATTGGTGTGTTATGTGTTTTATGTATTTTATTGTCCATTGTGTAGGAGTTTAACTAGCAGAGTGATTTGCATATCATTAACGCAAGCATTTAGTGTTTTTACAAAAGGTGAAATGCTGTCCAGCCGGCTAGAATGAAACAATTGTATGCTATCGCTCATGGAGCAAGAAAAGCGCTTGTTACATCCCACGTGAAAGGGGCCCCGCAAACTTCTGCTGTTCAAATCGTGGCTCCACATTTCCATTTGCAAACTGATTAATCCTGAAAGTCATTCTTTTACTGATAAAAAGGATTGAATGGACAAGATGTCTCTCCCTCATAAAGGAGTTCTAATAGGGGAGTATTGTCCAGCTCAGAGTTAACTCTACTTTTAAAGTATATTGCATTGTTTGTGTCAAAGTAAGATTCATCTAGTATGCCACCTTGATTATGGGGTAATAATAAAATGGTATTTTAATGGAGATTAGACAATTTCTGAAATTTATAAGTGAGGTAATTTTAATCTCCTAAACTACTGTATTATATTTGTATGGGTAAATTGAAAGCATTTTGCAGATCCAGAAGAGCATTAATAAATAATATAATAATCTCACTATGTGCCAAATTATGCAAAGAGGCTATCCAAAGTACGCACTAACGGGTTAAACTTGTGTTCTTGATAAGCGTATAACATTTAGTTTTATGGTTAGACTTTTGATACTCAATTTGAAATATGTCCCAATTACATCCTTGCATGGCACCAGGTACAGGTAGCAATATGTGTTTTAAAAATTTGCAAGGTCTTAGTGTTTTCAATATATTATAATAATGGAAAAGTACCTAACCGCATGTCTGCATTATGCTCATGACACAGACTGTCAGTATTGCAAGCCCTATATGAAGGCTATGCTTTCATTGTCGATGTATATACCCCTAGACAACCTTGCTTTTTATACACAATTTAACTATCCATTCAGCCTTTAAAAGCTTATTAATATTATATCTGTGTGGTACACAAAGAGGGGGGTGTGAGTTAGGTAATCCCATCCTGCATATGGAATAAAGGCAGAGGTAGAGGATTTGGTCAAAGGGTCTAACTTTTGTAGAGGTAACAACTTCAGCATTGGTGGAACACACTGTTCTAATTGTGGATAGCAGGGTCACTGGAAAAATGAGTGCCCAAACCCACCCCCACAGATTCCTCAATACCAACCATAGCTTCCAACCTATACCCACACCCAACAACCCCAGCCTAATAAACAGATGGTTCATGTTTGTAATATTTTATATAGTTTTAGGTGTTAATCCAAGAGTATTGAATTATTCGCGAGTATTAAAGTAATTAATTTTGAATATCAAATCAAGGTTCCAGTTTAGGAACAGAGTTTTATTGGGAATTAGCCCCATATGTATATGTTAGTGTTTTAATATTCATCCTAACAAGGATTTCTATAGAGTGAGTGCTACTCTCATCCGTACAAAGGCATTCCAAAGGGATATAATGTAAAACTTCATAGAAGACAGATTGCATAAATTATAAGAGAAGTACATGTTACACAAATTAAGGGTTTAACCTTAATCTCTAATTTAAGTTTTAGCCTAGGTAATTAATTAATGTTGTATTGATCCTTGTGTTTGTATGTTTGTAGAGACCGTCCTGGAGTGTTTGTGCCGCCTGATTTCTGGGACTACACACCAATCTCTCTGGCTGACCATGCAATAAGGATTTTGCAATTACGTCTGTTTGGTCATTATCCATGCAGGCCGAAGAAACTGAGATACTTATTTATGAGGACATAAACTTTGCACGCAAGAACCTGGAAAGTCCTGAAGGTGCAGTGCTGTCTAATACCGCTGGTTCTGTAATAACCCTTTCAACCATTGGGGTGTTGTACAGAGCTTTGTGGTGAAAATCCAGCAAACAAAAGAAGAACTAAGAACTATATGGAAGCTGACATTGTCTTGTTGTCAGCCATATTGCTACCCTTAGCCATTTTTATGGAACAAAATGTCTGGTGTCTAAACTGATTTCTTTATACTCTGTGAAAGACTTATTCTATTTTTCTGAACTATGCTGAACTATTGAACTATTTTTATTTTTGTAGAGTTAGCCAGAGAGAGAGGAAGTGTTAGCTGACCCAGGGATGGATGTACTATGTGTGTTTTTGATATATGTTGAGTGTGCCAGGGATGGATTACCATGTTTTGAGGAACTGCGTGAGGATATGACTGGTTTTGACTGGACTTTTGGAATAGGGAAATGGTTAAAAAATATAGGACGCAAGGTCCTGGTTGTGCAAAAATATAGTTGCTATAAGCCCAAGTTCCATTCTGTCTTAAACATCCATTTTCTATATATCTGTCTGCAAAAGTATTAAGTGGTTTTTGTTTTGTTTTTTTTCTGCTGAGTTTCTGTTTCTTGTAGACCACATGATTGCTTGGGAATGCCATAATCTGGACATTTCTCTGTCTTGGGAGAATGTTAACCGATGATATGAGCAATATATATTGCTCAAAGAGGGGTAACAATTGTAATTATTGGGGCTCAGTTGGATGGAACACCGGGACAGATTGGGGTTATAAGCCACAGAATGCATTAGATAAAAAGGATACGAATGGGAAGTCCCTCTTGACTAGAATGACCCTAACAAAGCTAGGTACATGTACCCCTATAGGGCAAACTGGGCACTTCATGAAATTTACCTTAAATATTGGAAACCCCAGTCCTGGAGATCAAGGTATTTATATTCTCAGTACCTTTTTAAGAAGAGGTATTGGAGGTAATCGAGGAAAAATCCAGTTAAAAGATATATGGAACTCCTCAAAATGGGAAAGCCTCACCTCTAGACAAACTCTTGTTAATCCTCTAAAGCCCCACATTCAGACCCTTGGTAATATGATGGCCATAGCAGATCCCACGTTTGGAGATACCATAGCGTTAGAAACAGGGTATACAGATACAAACCTATGGCTGGAATGGATGAGATATAATGCCCATTCCAACAATAGGTCAAACTGTTATGTATGTGGTAGTGCCAGACCTCATCTAGGAACTGTACCCTTACATGTCCCTGATGAGTACTGGGAATGTTTCCTAAGTTTGTTTTCAGGTATCACTGTTAATACTACAGAATGTGAAGAATGGAAAAAGGGTCACCCTATTGGTGAACCCAAGTTTAATTTAAATGATGTTGTCCCAGTATATCCTGGTAATTATACTTGTTTTCAGGGAAATAATAATGGTAAGGTGGGTACACAATTTGATAACTTCTCTTCAGGATTCTGTACCTTAGTGAATCAAACACAATCTGTGGGAGATGTTTATTGAATATGTGGAGATATGAAAATACGTTCTAGACTCCCCACCCCCTGGAGAGGAGAATGTGCCCCAGCCAAAATAATCATGCCCCTCCATATATTTGGCGACTCTCTCCCTGAAATTAAGGTTGTAACTGATTCCACAAGAAGGAAAGGGGATCCCCACAAGGTAGTTTCGACCCACATATCTATCTAGATGCCATTGGTATTCCAAGAGGGGTTCCTAATGAATTTAAAGCTAGAGACGAGGTGGCAGCAGGATTTGAATCAATATTTCCCATTATAACAGCTAACAAGAATGTTAACTGGATTAATTATATATATTATAATCAGCAAAGATTTGTAAATTATACACAAGATGCATTACAAGGTCTTGCTGAACAATTACAGGCTACCTCACAAATGACTTTCCAGAATAGAATGGCCCTTGATATGATTTTAGCAGAAAAGGGAGGAGTCTGTAAATTACTTGACTCCGGTGTTTGTTGTACCTATATTCCAGAGAACACTGGCCCTAATGGTAAAGTAACCCTAGCTATAAAGAAATTAGAAGACCTGTCCATAGAAATGAAGAGGAATTCAGGTATTGATCACCCATGGGCAGATATGTTTAAGTTTGACAGTATCCTAGACTGGCTAAAGAATATTGCAATAATTATTGTTATGGTTCTGATCCTTGCTCTACTTGTTTATGCTATTTTCAAGATTATTGTATTCTGCATTTGCAAACATACACGCAACACTGTTCCTGTAAAATCCCCAGCTTGCTATGATGAGTATCTCCAAATGTATATACATAACCGAAGCAATGGTGAACATGCTGATACAGATCTATAAGTTTGTGGTACTGGTCAGATGCCTAGTCCTATGCTATGGGAATAGTGGCCGAAGACATAATGAAAGACCTGCAGGATTGGCTAGCAATCCTGAATATACCATGGCAAATGGCTGGTTGTCTGACCAGGACTCCTTAAATAGGGTATGAGCAAGATATTGCTCAAAGAGGGGGAAATGAAGGAATATTGACCCCTTAAGGACACATGACATGTCATGATTCCCTTTTATTCCAGAAATTTGGTCCTTAAGGGGTTAAACAATTAATCTGTCAGTATTTCAGAACTGCTTGCAAAACATAACTGAAAGGAAGTCACAAGCTATGACAGTTTCTATGTATCAGGAAATGCCTAACCACAATGTATATGTAATATTTTGTAAGATTAGATTATTGAATGTAACAGCAGAAACTGCTTCCTCTTTTATGTATCTTGTGTAACCTTTTTGTAACCTTTTTGTAACCTTTTGTAACCAATATTCGTGACAAATATTGTATAAATACAGAGCATTTTGAATACATTGTCAGAAGATTATGGAGAGCAAAAAGTGTGTGTCTGGTTAATACGCTTCCATAAAAATCTTCCCTGAATATTCAGCTGACAATCGAGGGTTGGAGAATAGTGACCAGAGGGACCGAGTCACCAGATTAGCAGATTTACCTTTCACTGCTCACCCCCACAAATTTACTTATCACCATAACACACACTGCATGCACTTCACTAACACAGTCACTGCATCCACTATACACACACACTGCATCCACTACAAACACACTGCATTTACTACAAACACCTACACACTGCATTCACTATACACACACACACACTACATCCACTACAAACACCCACACACTGCATTCACTATACACACACACTACATTCACTATACACACACACTGTATCCACTACACACACACACACACACACTACATCCACTATACACACACACACACACATTACATCCACTACAAACACACACTGCATCCACTACACACACACACACACACACTGCATTCACTCGCCACATGCGGCATCCACTTCCATACACACTCTGTATTCACTATACACACCGTGTATCCATTATATACACACACAATGCAGAACACACACAATGCATCCACTGCTTCCACTACACAAATACACACACTGTACACAATACACACACTGAATCCACTACACACACTGCATAACATAATGGACGTGGGCGCGTTTTGGTTATTATTATTTTCTTATTTATGTAGCGCCAGCAAATTCCGTTGCGCTGTACAATGGGTGGACTAACAGACACGTACTTATAACCAGACAAATGGACGCACAGGAACAGAGGGGTTGAGGGCCCTGCTCAATGAGCTTACATGCTAGAGGGAGTGAGGTATAATGAGACAAAGGGTATATGTAGGGGTAATGAAATTGGTTGCTAGAAAAGCAATGCAATACACACAAACACTGCATCCACTGTTTCCACTACACAAATACACACACTGCACACAATACAAACAGAGCATCCACTACACACACTGCATAACATAATGGACGTGGGCGTGTTTTGGTTATTATTATTATTTTATTATTTATATAGCGCCAGCAAATTCCACAGCGCTGTACAATGGGTGGACTAACAGACATGTTTTTGTTGGAGGGGGGCAGCATTTCATGCTTGGGCCCAGGCAGCACAATCCTTTGGGCCGGCCCTGCTCTCACAGTTCCTGAAGTTGGAGTATCAATAACACATTGCCTCAGGAGTCTGAAGGTTTATCTTAGCTTTGCTGCTGCCTTGGAGTGCTTGGTGCTATCTGCATACCGGGTGATCAAGGAGTCATCATGGCTGCTACATCATCTCCTGGACCCAACCCAGCAACAATATCAGACAACGAGTGTTGTATAGGAATATGCTGCCTGACACATTGCATCCAGTGCTTGGGATACATGGGATACATAGTTTATATCAGATAAATTACTAAATACTATCAATCACTGATATATATTATATTCTTAGCTGATCTAATAGTGTTCATTGGATACATTTATACTTTTTGCTCATCTGTATTAGATTAAATTTCCAGTGATGCACAGTCATCCATTCGCCTGGCTGAGTATCATATTAAACACAGTCCTTAATGTCTATGGCAGCTTTGACACTGTATATACTAAGCTGCACTTGATCTGTCCTCTGAATAATAACCAGAGACTTCTTGTTGTGCCCCATACCCATTACACATCCCTGCCACAAGCATTGTGCCATGATCCATAAGATATTGTGTCCCATGACAGATAGGATTGATTTTCTGTGTCCTGTGACCGATACGATGGACTCTTTATGTCACGACAGTGACCCCTTCACACAGAGAGTAGTCCAGAAAGAGACGTATACCAGACCTTAGGGTGGTCGGGCTCCACGTCAAAGAGTAGTCAAAGGAATAGCCAAAGGTCAAGGGAGTACAGAAAACAGAATACACAAGAATAAACAAGCCAATAATCGGGTAACCATAGAGTAGAGGAGTCAGTAAGGAAAGCCAAGAGTCAAATACCAGAAAACAGTCAAGAATCGCAAGAGCACTAGAGGGAACACACAAGAACCACACTAGGGCGTTGAACAAATGACAGAGGCTCCCTTTTATAGTGAGGTGTCTTTTACTTTAAAGCCACGCCCCCAAAAGGTCCGCGAGGGTGGCCACGTTTTAATTTCCGCGGCAATATTCTGATGACGTTGGCAGGCATGCACCACATCATAAGAAGAGGCGTGTTGTGAGCGGCTGGTATCAGATAGACTGTGCTGCCTCCCGGAAGCAGCAAGAGAGAACGCTGCACTGCGTGGGTCCGGTGGGAAAAGGTAAGGTATCGGTAAAGAACCCCCCCCACAGGGTGGGGAAGACCAGGGCTGCGAGAACGACGCCTCTCAAATAAACAAACCAGGCGAGGAGCATGTACATCAGAGGCATCTACCCATGAACGTTCCTCGGGACCATACCCTTTCCAATCCAAAAGGTATTGGAGTTGTCCCCTAGAAATACGAGAGTCTAAAATAGATTTCACTTTGTATTCATTTTAGGTGGTCTCGAGGGTTTTCGAGTATAACGATTACAAATTAAAGGTTTAAGGAGAGAAACATGAAAAGAATTGGGTGTTTTCATAGTAGCCAGTAAACTCAGGCGATAACAGACTGGATTAATGCGTTTGAGTATTTTGAAAGGACCAATAAAACGTGGAGCGAATTTCATAGAGGGGACTTTTAATTTTATATTGCGAGTGCCCAACCATACTCTGTCCCCTGCCACAAACGTTGGAGCAGCCCTTCGTTGTCTATCCGCATTACACTTTTGAGTTTCGGCCTTTTGAATCAATATATGTTTAACCCCTAACCAAGTTTCTTTCATATTGTTAATAGTGCTGTCAACACATGGCACTCCAGTGGATGAAAAGGAACTCGGAAGAGTAATAGGGTCAAAACCAGTGATGTCGCGAACACAAAATTTTCGGTTCGCAAATGGCGAACGCGAACTTCCGCAAATGTTCGCGAACCGGCGAACCGGGCGAACCGCCATAGACTTCAATGGGCAGGCGAATTTTAAAACACACAGGGACTCTTTCTGGCCACAATAGGGATGGAAAAGTTGTTTCAAGCGGACTAACACCTGGACTGTGGCATGCCGGAGGGGGATCCATGGCAAAACTCCCATGGAAAATTACACAGTTGATGCAGAGTCTGGTTTTAATCCATAAAGGGCAGAAATCACCTAACATTCCTAAATCACAATGAATATGGATTGACACCTGACATATGACATATTGACACCTTGACATATGGATTGACACCTGTCCTCAGAGCCCCTGATGCACCGCGGACACAGAGCAGAATAGGGGACTGGTCCCCCTACATAGGGTCACTTGGCAGATCTGGATTGACACCTATCACCAAGGATCCCTGATACACACACTGACAAAGAGCAGAATAGAGACTGTTCCCCTACATGGGTCACTTGGGTATGGATTGACACCTGTCCTCAGAACCATGATACACACTGACACAGAGCAGAATAGAGACTGTTCCCCCTACCTTAGGGTCACTTGGCAGATATGGATTGACACCTGTCCTAAGGGTCCCTGATACACACTGACACAGAGCAGAATAGGGACTGTTCTCCTACATAGGGTCCACTTGGCAGATATGGATTGACACCTGTGCTAAGGATCCCTGATACACACTGACACAGAGCAGAATAGGGACTGTTCCTCCTACATAGGGTCACTTGGCAGATATGAATTGACACCTGTCCTCAGAGCCCCTGATACACACTGACACAGAGCAGAATAGGGACTGTTCCTCCTACATCGGGTCACTTGGCAGATATGGATTGACACCTGTCCTCAGAGACCATGATACACACTGACACAGAGCAGAATAGAGACTGTTCCCCCTACATAGGGTCACTTGGCAGATATGGTTGACACCTGTCCTAGGGATCCCCAGTACACACTGACCCTGAGAGCAGAATAGGACTATTTCCCCTACATAGGGTCACTTAGCAGATATGGTTGACACCTGTCCCTAGGATCCCTGATACACACTGACACAGAGTGGAGATAGAGACTGTTCCTCCTACACTTAGGGTCACTTAGCAGATATGGATTGACACCTGTCCTCAGGACCATGATACACACTGACACAGAGCAGAATAGAGACTGTTCCCCTACATGTAGGGTCACTTGGCAGATATGGATTGACACCTGTTCTAAGGTTCCCTGATACACACTGACACAGAGCAGAATAGGGACTGTTCCTCCTACATAGGGTCACTTGGCAGATATGGATTGACACCTGTCCTCAGAGCCCCTGATACACACTGACACAGATAAGAATAGGGACTGTTCCCCCTACATAGGGTCACTTGGCAGATATGGATTGACACCTGTCTCAGAGACCATGATACACACTGACACAGAGCAGAATAGAGACTGTTCCCCCTACATAGGGTCACTTGGCAGATATGGATTGACACTGTCCACAAGGACAAACTGCAGGCTTCCTGGCAGGGCCCATACAAGGTGGTAGAGCAGGTTTGTGATACCACCTTTGTGATCGGTGCGGTCACAGGCACGGGAGGCAAGCGCATGTGAACATGCTCAAGCCATACCACGAGCGCACGGAAGAGGTAACTGCGATCTGTGCACCTGCCACTGAAGATTATGATAATTTTTTTTTTTTTTTTTTTTTTTGTAATTCTTTATTTTTGCTGTGCAGGTGGGTACAAGGAATCAACAGACGCCACAACAGCGTATTGCAAGATATACAATGGTTAAACAGTGGCATGAGAGTCTGCACAATTTTATATTTTTAGCAAGCTTGGCTAAACAGTTAAATTGTTAGCGTGAAGTTACATAAAATACAGCGAGATAGTTGATGCTTAACCTGTCTAAATCGGCATTTGTGCTAGGCATATATGTGGGAAACAAAACAGTGAGCATATTTTTGCCATTAAAACAGAAGCTAAGGTTATCATCAAGAACAGATTTCTTTAAGCTTAATTAGGTTTAACCACCAGGGGGCAGCAGAGCGTCGGACACACATGCAGGCTCAGACATTTGGATTTCTTTCTAACTGCAGGAAGAGAGTCCGATGTAAAAGGCACACGTTAAAATTGTGGATGGGGTGCTGGATTAAGA